TGTGATATTTCGGAAAATGAGAACATCTACACCCCCTACCCCTGAACTCGAAGGCTTTAACAAGTAACCTTCTCAACGAAATCAATATCAGGACCGGACTATTATTCTTTCCCTATGTTTAGTTATTGTGGGAATAACTCGCCCTGTATAATAATTAACAAAAATTTGAGGTCATTATGAATCGACGGAAAAAATACTATAGGAACTTGTGAAAAATATTTCTGGCACAATTTCAGTCATTCCGTAATGAATCATTATTTTAATTTTTTTCAATGAAAATATGATGAATATTTACGACACGAAGACATAATTGTTGTTATCCTCTTCGATAACTTCGTAGAAATATTTTATAAATTACTCTAGTACCCTGAAAAAACTGAAGAATAATAATAATAAAAAAATAAAAATCGAATTTCTTCAAAATTTATGAACATTTTTGAACGTATCACTTTGAAAATCAATAGGGATCTTCGGGATGTGAAACCCCAATACGGACACATTTTCACTATGGCCATTAAAAGGCACTTCCTATATGGTTCAGAAGGTCCATAACTTTTTTCTCAATGTACTTTTTCACTTTTTTCGTTGATGAAATGGTTTTTCAATATTTTTAAGGAAAAAAAGTGCTCCTATGTAAAATTGCTAAAGTAAGCCGATTTCGAAATGTTTCCGTTTTAAGTGTGTTCGATGCTGCACAGGAATATTCAAATTATTTTGAATAAAAAACGCATTTTTTTTATGTATGATAAAATTGATATTTTCATAACATAGGGAATGCAAATTCCCGATGTAATTCTTTATATATATGTATATTCATTTTTTTATGTTCATAATTATATCTGGGAATATTCCTTTTCAATAAAAAATGCCTTTTTGCTGTTTTCTTTGTGAATGTAATTTGGTCAGCAAATGGGTAGTGCAAAAATGAGTTTTTCAAAATACTTTTTTCTGTGACGGGAAAAAAGTTTGTCATTTCATCTCTGTTGGCAGGCTATAAAATGTCACTTTTCATGAATTACTTTTTTCCCGTGGGACACCCAGTATAACAATTGATTAATTCAATTAATTGATTATGGTGTACTCGATATCCTTATATTCCTGCTATTGGAGATTTGGTTCTGCTAGCTCAATGGTTAGGCTAGCAGAACCCATGATTTTTTTGAAAAAACAATGTGCGAAGAAATCGGCAATAGGCTAGGATTAAAGCTTTAAATTAGTCTCAAATCATGGTTTAATTCGTTTTGTGATTGTACTTTTATTCACAAAGTGGTTCTGATAGCTCAACGTTGAGCTAGCAGAAGCCACGTTTTTTTGCATAAATCGAAGAGCAATAAATTCTTCAATACGGTGATAAATAATTAGCCTTGAATTATGGCCCAAAAAAAATGAATGATTCAAAGTAGTTCTGCTAGCTCAATGGAGGTTTTTCACTTAGTTATTCTGAATCTACGATCAGATAAATGATGATTGTTATACTAGGTCAGTTATAATCACAAGACTCATTCCACCCCTAATAATATTCTTCAGTTTTTCAGGTTATGAGAGTAATTCATTAAATATTACTACGGAGTAATTAAAGACAATAACAACAATTATGTCATGATTTCGTGAATATTAATTTTATTTCGATTCTTGCCGATATTTTATCCGACAAAATTAATAAGAGGAATTAAAATAATAAATCTCTTTCTCACCAAGTTTCAATAGTATTTTCCTCTTAGATTCATAATATGACCTCAGATTCTTGATAATTATTATACAAGGTGATTTATTCTCTCAATAATTAAACATAGGAAAAAAATAATATTCTGGTCCTGATAATGATTCAGAAGGCTCATTGGTGAAGCATTTGAGTTCAGTTAATATATCAAATTTGAACCCAATCGGGTAATCTCTGTATTTAATATGGCAGATTGATTTTTTTGTCAAAATCCATAAATTACTCTGTATGTCAGTATATTGGCAGTCCCTATAACCCCATAAGTTTCGTCGGTTTCATCTCCGAATACCCTGTATTCCACAAATAAAAATGAATATTCTGACATACGAGAAAAAAAAATTAAAGAAATCTTGAGAATAAATGTGTTGATGAGTGAAATATGTAATTGCTTATACTCAGGACAAGGTACAACTCGGAGGTTCAAAACGATTAATTCTGGTTGGAAACAGGTCTGTTTTTCGGAAAGAACACTTTTTCATAATATGTATTACGTATGTCTCTGCTGTGCATCACAAAATCAAAGTACCTACTTGAATGGTTCATTTTCCTTCCATATCTATAACGAGGGCAATAATAGACTGTTAAATATCACAACACACTGTATAGGTTCGGTATATAGGATCAAATCACAAAAACACGTTCCATCGGAGTCACTAGAATTCAAATTTGCTAAAGGGTATATGTATACCTACAACCTGCGGACCCATGCGCTTCTAGGTGCATTATAAGATATAGTCGAGTATAAAATAGTTCACTGAGATACTTTTTTTTCAAGATTTTTCTAGTCATTAAGAAGTAGGTACCTCATTGTCAATCCAATTGGAGGTGATTTGTTCATATCCAATCCTCTAATATTAAAAAAATTCAATAACCATGAATTATTTCTCGATTATTTCCATCAAATTTCAAAAAAATGTCAATGGCATCCAAAGACTTCCAAAGACTACCAAAGACTCCCAAAGACTTCCAAAGACTTCCAAAGAATTCCAAAGACTTCCAAAGACTTCCAAAGACTTCCAAAGACTTCCAAAGACTACCAAAGACTTCCAAAGACTACCAAAGACTTCCAAAGACTACCAAAGACTTCCAAAGACTTCCAAAGAATTCCAAAGACTTCCAATGGAGTGTACACCAGACTTCCAATGAGATTTACCCCTCGGTTGAATGGGCCTGTTTCAGTGAAAAATTGTATTTCATAATTTCGAAGTACTAACCCTACCTAGTTCACTGTCGCAAACCGTTTTTTCCTCAGAGCTCTGTAACTTTTTTAAATAATTATTGAAATTCACGATATTTCATAGAATACGTATTAATTCTCTATTTCTGATACACTAGTGCAAGAATATTTCTGATTGTCATTTCTTTCAGAATATGAATGGAATACATTTTCTGGTTGAATACTTACTGCAGATAACAGAGAAGTAAACACATAACTAAAGAATCAGATAATATGAGGATTATCTTTGAATATTCGCATCTTGACTGAATGAAACAAGGATTTGACCATGAAGGTGAGAGCCGATAACTGTCGTCCACCTCTACTCGAGTAGCAAATTCCAAAACATGATGTATCTTAGTGTAAATTACCTATAGAAAGTCACAGAATGTGTATGAATGTCATTGGATGTCTTTAGAAACCAATGTAAGTCTCGGAATGTCGATGGATATCTTGATGAATCGTTAAAAATCTTTGAAATCGGGATATAATGCTTTGAAAGTATTTGGGAGTCATTGAAAGTATTTGAGTCATTGAAAGTCTTTGAAATTCAATGGACAGCTTAGTGAATGAATCTTCAAGAATCGGTAAAAATCAATTGGATTCTTTGAAAGTACCCGAGTAAGTATTTAAGACTCATTGGAGAAATGAATGTCCTCAGGATTCTTCGAAAGTATTTGAAAGCTCGTTTGAAAGCAACTGAATGCCAATTATTGTCATTGGATGTCTTTAGAAAACAATGTCAGTCTTGGAATGTCAATGGACATATTTATGAAAAGTTAAAAATCTTTAAAATCTGGAGATGATGCTTTGAAAGTATTTGAGTCATTGAAAGTATTTGAGTCATTGAAAGTATTTGAGTCATTGAAAGTCTCTAAAATTCAGTGGACAGCTTGGCGAATCTTCATGAATCTTCACAAAAATCAATTGGATTCTTTGCAAGTATCTGAGTAAGTATATTTGAGACTCATTGAACAAATTGATGTCTTCGGGATTCTGAAGAGAGTTTTTGAAAGCCACTGGTTATTGAAGAATGTCATTGAATGTCTTAAGAAATCAGTGAAACTCAATGGAAATCTTCTTGAATCGTTTGAAGTCTTTAAATCAAATGGATTCTTTGAAAGCGAGTTTGAAAGTACTCGGAAGTTACTGAAAACTTACTTGATGCTTTTGTTGTTGGTATAGTCATGAAAAACAAATTAACCAAGAGACAGCTGTATAATTTTATATGTTGTCATTATGGATGTAGGCCGTTATCAATTTATCGTTTAGAGAATTGCCTGTTTACATTCAGACGAAAAGAAAATTTAAATTCTCGGACATAACACGACATTATAATCCATAATGAATGCGGCACACAGACTCATAATTCAATTATGAGATAACCGTGGCGCCGTTCCAATATCCGTATTGTTTACCCAACACAGGGTGATCGTTTCATATGCCACATTAGCGATTATCTCCACGAACTGGATCCTCCACCATTTTGTTTCTTTCAATTATTGGATTTTCAAATGATCCATTGTGAACTACAACTCTTTATCTTTGAAATAACTCTAAGAAATGCAAATTTGATTGAATTTTCATGAAGCCTGAAGCAAAATAATAATAATCGTTTATACGAGATTAGCACATTCACTCCATAACAAATTGCAAAGTAATGAGTGTATCTACTGGACTATTTGTTCGATTTCGATGTTCGAGTACTCATTCTCTTCAGAAATAAATAGCCTAAGATGACATCGGTACAGGTTGGGAAAAATCTGATTTTCTTTCTCGCCAGCAGTTTTTGTAAATGACAATACTTTGGTAGAATCCGCCATTTTGTTTTTGTTCATTATGAAATTTTCAAATATCCCACTGTATACTATAGCCCTTTAGCTATGAAACGACGCCAAGAAATTCGAATTCGGTTGAGAAATGATGAAACCACGAGGAAAATAAAAACTTCCGGTTTTTTTGTGACCACCCGATATATCCATTTTTTCCTGTTCATGTTATATCTGAATAAATTCGTTTCGAATACAATAATTATAATATTGACGAGGTGCAGATACAAAAAAATTATTGTCCAACCCTCGTACGCAAACAGATACCTGCCCATCCACTTGTTAAGAGGGCGAAGCACCTGATGATGATAATTTCTTGTCCGATGACCTGTGGAATGTGGCCGGCCACCAGCTCCCTCTCTCTTTCTTTCGCTATTTCTTTCTCTCTCTTTTTTTCCCTCGACCTGTCCAAATCGTTTCTTCTTCTCGTTTCTTTTGCTCCGACCCAAAACGAGCCGAATACCCATGAGCGGCACAGAAAGGGAGTGAAGTAGAAGAGAGAGGGTCACAAAAATTATCTAGTTTCAATATCGACAAAGTTATTTTTAGTCAGATTTTTTTTTATTTTCAATAATAAGATATTCGAAGACTGGTGTAAGTGTCTCAGGAATAACTTTTTTCTACTACTGCTATGAAAAGTAGCGCATTTCTCATAGCTTACTTATTTTCGAAACCTTGTATTGCTCATACTGTGATAAATATTTTTTCTCACGGCACTTTGCCAACACCACATACATTTCCATGGAGAATCCACAAAAATCTACCAAAACTTAATTAGCTGCTGTTCAGCTTTGAATTGTTGTCACAACTGTCAGAAGAAGTTTTTTAAATTCTTCAGGGTAGTTCTCATGAGTGCTTTTGATAGAAATCGCATTTTCAATCAAATATTATTCCAACCATTCATAATGAATGATATGATGTATATACCGAGACGTGACGATTTTGATAAATATACACCGCAAGAGACAGAGATGGAAAAAGCTGCAAAAGTTGGATTTGTTTACGGAAATTTGAAGAAGAAAGTATAAATTGGCATATACAAAAATGTATGGAATACAAAAAAACAGAAATAAAATCTTTTTCGGAAAGTGTATTTTTTTGAAATACTTTGAGGAACTAGGAAAGGCGTCTACTCTTTGGTAAAAATATTCGATGTGGTATAGTGCCACATTATAAAATGAATACCAATATTTACATTACTTTGGATTGTTTGAATAGGTGTAGAAAAAGTATAGTGTGCAACATGTAGGGAAAAGAACTTTTCCCACTTGTTGCACAATATACTATTACCTACTTCCACTATAGAAAGATGGCAAGAACACAAGAGATACAGTCTCAGTAATTCGCTTTTTACGCACAGTAAGCACATCGCACAGTTTTCGTTTATTCCGCCAGTATATAGGTATGTCATGATCGCGTAATCGCCGTCAACAGCGGATGACATAACCATAATTCAGACTGTTTGTCCAAACTTTTTTGATGTACTATATGGCAGTTGCCAGTTGGTGAAGTATAGTACGTAATTCCATTTTCTTCGTTGATTACAATGACGAAAACTTAAAAATCTGAAATAGCGTTCACGAGTTACGTCAAAAAGTACAATTTCTTTAAATGGGACACCCAGTATACAATATTCTCAATCGATAGGAAATTCTATACTGAACAAGAACTGACTCATTAACTTTCTTCCTGAATTCAAAAAATGACGAAGCTATCGACGATTTTTCCATACTTTAGTAAGGCAGAGTGGAGGCAAAGTTGCGACAAGTAATATACGGTTTTTTCCGAGGTTTTTTCTAGTGCACTGTCCAAGCTTGTACACCAGTTATGTTTGAATTCATTTGATTTTTGAAAAGTAATCTCAATGGCTTCAACAATGATGTTCATTCTACACTTAACGAAGATGATCCGCATGCACTTGCGGTCCGCTTTTCATACATTTTCTAATATTTTAGTATTTAAATTGTTATTTTGTTTCTTCAACATGAGAAATATTTTTTCCCCAGAACAGTACTTCCTATAACAAAACTTTTGCTGATGATGAAGCTTTGAAGCTTCCAAACAAGTCCCTCCAATTTTGAATAAAGTACAGTTTTAGTGGAGTTCACTGTACGATTTTCTTTCTGCCCTACACCCTGTATAATAAAAAATGAAAAAATTCTGTGAAATCTAAAACATTCACAGTCTCCACTACTTGCGAATCCTACTTATAACTACATGACAGAGTTTTCAAGAGACCACTTCTCAGATACTTCTAGGCATGTGCTATTGACTTCGTCTAATTAGCTGCCTCACTCAACATAGTGAAATATACCCGAGGATGTACAGAACCCAGAAAGAAAGTTGTTTATACGTATAGTTGAAAAACGGTAAAAATCGCATGTCTTTATTATCGGTGGGAAGACTATACAAAAATTATCTAATGAAATGTTCCTTGAGACGTATACACATTTTTATGATCGTCTGCCCTATGTATATCGAGATTTTTTTTGTGAAATCGCTACCGTTGTTATGATGTACCCTCGGATGTACCTATAATTTGCGATGTTCACTACAGTGCTAAATCTGAATGAAAAATGATAGTGACGCTTCAAATTACTTTGGGAAGACTATACAAAAATTATCTAATGAAATGTTCCTTGAGAAGTATACACATTTTTATGATCGTCTGCCCTATGTGCATCGAGATTTTTTTTTGTAAAATCGCTACCGTTGTTATGATGTACCTATAATTTGCGATGTTCACTACAGTCCTAAATCTGAATGAAAAATGATAGTGGCGCTTCAAATGACTTTGGGAAGACTATACAAAAATTATCTAATGAAATGTTCCTTGAGACGTATAAACATTTTTATGATCGTCTGCCCTATGTATATCGAGATTTTTTTGTAAAATCGCTACCGTTGTTATGATGTACCTATAATTTGCGATGTTCACTACAGTCCTAAATCTAAATGAAAAATGATAGTGGCGCACAAATGACTTGGGGAAGACTATACAAAAATTATCTAATGAAATGTTCCTTGAGACGTATAAACATTTTTATGATCGTCTGCCCCATATATATCGAGATTTTTTTTGTAAAATCGCTACCGTTGTTATGATGTACCTTTAATTTGCGATGTTCACTATAGTCCTAAATCTGAATGAAAAATGATAGAGCCTCTCCAAATGACTTGGGGAAGACTATACAAAAATTATCTAATGAAATGTTCCTCGAGACGTATAAACATTTTTATGATCGTCTGCCCAATGTATATCGAGATTTTTTTTGTAAAATCGCTACCGTTGTTATGATGTACCTATAATTTGCGATGTTCATCACAGTCTAGAATCTGAATGATAAATATGGTTTAATTAAAGACTTACCATTGACACTGGGATGGGTCCACCTGCTCCATTGGCGTAGGTATAGGGTGACACGAGGTATCCCATGTTGAATGAGGAAGTGTGGGAGACTGGTTCCACCTTACCTACATACCAAAAAAAAACAATACTGAACATCTGATCAATTATTGAACCACATGCAAAAAGTACATTTTTCGGCAATCGTCTGGGAAGTGCTCATTTGCTTTTTCTTAGCAGTTAGTAGGTATAGGTTTTCTGTTCAAATTTGAGTATATGATACAAATAAGAATTAATAAAGAAGACATTGTATTCCACAAAGAAATATACCTAATATGGAAATGTGTCTCATTGAATTGTTATTCTACATATGGTTGCCGAAAAAAATGTGTACGCAACACGTCAAAAAATAATTTTTTTGGACTCGCAGACTTCACATCATATTCGGATACGGTTTCATATTGAAGATTAATTCATTGGGTATATGACTACTAGACCTCTAATGGAAATATATGGTGACATCTGGTTAACAAACAAACCTTTGCAAAATAATGAAAAATTCAACATGCTCCAAATTTGAAGGAACATTTTCTAGATTTTATTCAATCATATTTGTATATAATGCTCAAGGATATTACTCGAAATGAATGTCATTTTTTTTTAAATCTTCGATTATTGAAAAAACTATTTTTCGAAAAATACTCAGAATAATGTGAGATTTCGTAATTTAGACAAGGAACATTTTTTTGTTGAAGCGTTGAAGCGCTATTTTCAGAGATTATTTCATGAATGTGTTGTGATGGCCTGAATTGTTTGTATGAAATCTCATATATTTCATCTTATATACAGGGTGAGTCGGGAAAAATAATTCGAAATAACCCATATGTTTTGATACGATTCTCATTTGTTTTCATTTTATATTTGAATAGATTTGTGGCATTTTATGAGTCTTCAATTGAACAAACTCGATTGTTTCATCTGTTATGTGTTTGGCGCGTTCATTTTCGAGTTTGAACGATTAAAGTCTTATATATTGCCACACATCTATTCACATTTAGAATGGAAACAAATGAGAATCGTATAAGAAATGAGAATCGTACAAGAACATACGGTTTTTTTTTTAATTTGATGCGTTTTTCCCGACTCACCCAGTATATATGGCGTTCAAGATTGAACATTTTTGTGACCACAATTGCAGGTCATTGGGAGCTTAGGTCGAATAAGAAAAATAAGAAAAACTGTTTTGCAATTCCCAAATATTTGGCCCTCGATTGAAGCTATTTTACACAAGATTTCACCTATAAGTATACGTATACATATCCAACCAAATGAAGTGTTATTTCACAAATTAGTTAGATTAGTTATTGACACACGAGAGACACAACTCATATGAGTTATATCTTTGTTTATAAAACAGTTTTTATTTTAAGATTGGTAGGTGGGGGTGAAATGCTCTGTCGGCAAAGAAGATTACGAGGATACGGCCATGTTGGGATAAATCAAACCTCGACATCTGGTCCTTATTTGTAAATAGCTGAGCAATTCACTACAGCAAAAACGGATGGAGTGATAAAAATATAAAAAAAAACTGAGAAATACGTCGGAACGTAAATTAAATATATACAGGGGGAGTTTTCCATGAAGAAGTTTTCATCGAATTCTTGTGTTTGTCATTTTATTCTGACTCATCTTGTATCTATCATATTTTTTTGGAAAATGAAAGACCGTGAAAAACTTACCGAACACGGGACTGTGGTCAGAACGCTGCACATTTTTGTGGGAGGAATTGATGTAGATTCCACTTCCGGATTTTTCCTGAAAAAAATCGAAACAGAATGCAAGAAATTAAAGAAGCAAGTATCCACGAGTTTAAACAAAAACAATACAAAAAAATTGTAGCCTATAACCTATAACCCAGCTAGCGAAATTAAATTCAAGAAACTTTCATATAAAGGTTTCAGATATGTTTTAGGAACTTGAACGATCCTTCTCTGATACTTCGGTACTTGTCTGTTGACGAGCTTGTTGCCAATTCTCTAACTGTATCTGAACTCTTCGGAAATCATCATGGAAATGAATGTTTCGGAAATCAATGTTAATGTCATTACATTCTTGCTGATAAATTATCAGTAAGTGCAATGAAATAGGCTTCTGAATCTAGCGGTGGACCTACACCTATCTACCTATCTATACTTCCAGGTTGTTCATAAGCCAAGTTAACCTTTAAAATTAATGAATGCTAACATCCACTAAATGGCCTGTTTCTAAGTACAAACCCCACGACCAACCTAACTAGATCACTGTCGCAAACCGATTTTTTTTTCAGAGCTCTGTACATTTTTTTGAAATAATTATTTCGTAACATAAAAAACGAGGGAAAACGCGTGACACAATCATCCAAAAAATTCGACATACGTATATCTATTCATTTCAATCAGAATCCAGAAGGTGCTCGCCTCAGACTCTAATGAATTTTCTGGACTGAATACTTACTGTAGATATCAGAAAACATGACACACAACTGAAGAATCAGATAATAAGAGGAATATCTTTGAATATTTGCGATGATTTCAAATAACAAATACAAATGATTGCATAAAATACTATCTATCTCGCTATTTATACACGGAATGATCAATATGAAATAGGTGTTTGGCGTAAATTCGACTAGTGTATACAACACTCGGTACAACCCCATCATCACTATGTAGTATTTTATTTTTCAGGAGGTGACAATTTAGAGAGATTTTGATGAATATCTAATTATTTGTACCCCACTCTTCTATTTCTTATATAGTAAGAAATTCTTTTATTAACGTTATCATCCTTATCTTCTCAGATAAGACAAATAATGATAGGAACATATACACGACATTAAAAAACATGCCTCTATTAATGACTTACACATATTTTAGATTTTTTTTCGGAGAAAACACACTACATTACATTTTTATGACTCAGAATCATTGATTATGCTTCAACAAATGTCAGATTGCATTGAATAATCTGACAGCTCTGATATCTTGGGAGATTTCACATAACATACCTAGTTTCCGACTTGATTCTTGATAGAATAAAAATCGAAAACAACGATAATTAAAAAATATCACAGAAGGTTGTTCCAAATAATTCCGGAACTTTTACAGCCACTACTTTGAAGATTAATTCATATTCGGCTTCCCAGAAATCTAATTAATAGGTTAACATCCTATAAAATAAGGAACAATTTAATTAACTCAGATGAATGGAAAGTCCTTCAGCGGAGAATCAATCTTATTGACCTACCTACTTAACCCTACTTTCATCTTCCTTCGTCGGAAAACATCAGTGATCAAGAGAACTATAGATTATCTAGGTAGGTATACAAATTAAAATTGTAGATGTTACAAATAATTACCTAGGTACGTATAGGTAGATGCCTACCACTATAAACTCTTTTAGACACTCATTTATTGAACACTCGTTACTAAAATGAAGTTTTATAACACTTGTAACATATTATACTATTCCTTTTCAACAGTTTCAACACCTCACCAACTTTTACAAGAAATCAAATGAGCAAACAACAATCCAAGATCGCGTGACCGCACTAACGCCATGTTATCAGCTCGCATAATGGCTGGTTATTCCACACAAAACATCTGAAAAACGCCTTCTGTCAAAAAAACGTGCGCTGATGCGTCAACAGCTCGCTTGATTCCTTCACAAAGTGATCTAGACGGTGGTGTGTCACGCCAGTTTACATTAATAATTAATTATTTTTTATTTAATGGTGTTTCAATTGTGATACGGCTGGCAAAATGAACGTTCAATCAATCTATTGAGAAACCATTACCGATCAAGAGTTTACGAATAGAAGCCTGCTTGGCACTTATTTATATGCGAATTAAATTAGCAGTTTACGAGAACCTACCTACCTACCCATTTTAGATAATATAATACCAGTTATAGGAGATTTCTACATGCAATTTGAAATTATAGACTGTACTCTGTTGGATTTTTTCCTTTGGTTGTTGCGAGGGTTGTTGTATGAACCTCTATGCGACGGTAAAATATCGACCGAGATATCAACATCATCAACAATGTGACAAGAAACAACTTGAAGCTATTCATTTTGTAGCAGACGGTACACATACCTAATGAGTATTATACTGTGTTATTAGGTATTATAGTTGTACCTATCTGAGTACCTATCTGAAGAAAGGACAAATCTTGATGATTCTTCTACCTAACTAATACTATATCTAGGTATTGACTTCTACCTACCTATTACTGTACCTACCTAGGCATGGTGAGGCACAGATTCAGATAAAACTGCACTTATCATGCGATGGTTTTTTTTCGAAAATTGTTTATGGTACTTTCGTATTTTCGTATGGAAACACGAATTTCACAATGAAAATGCTAAATGTCACCATGTTTTGCTAGTCTATGGTTTTGCCACCCATCTTGGATATCCATTTACAACCGAGTTTACAACTATTTGTCCTTTCTTTTGCTATCATTGCACACTTTATATACTCACGTTGTACTTCAATGACACATTTTATTTCCAAAAATCAGCAAGAACTCACGAGAAGTATGGTTTATTTGGATTTTTCACATATTTTAGTGAACAATCACACCACTCACACCAGCCGATGGCCACATTCAATTATCAAATCTAAATACAAATACGAGATGTCAAATACCCAAATGTCAAATGTCAAAAAAAATTGCAAGAAACTCGAGAAACCAGACGATTGTTTACCTCACTAAATAAAACCCACCGCATGATAACTGCAGTTTTACCGATTTTTTTACAATGAAACTGCTCTGGAGTCTAGATGTCTGGGCAGGATGCCAGGATGTCAGGGGTTCAGAGCATATACGTATTAAATATAAAATGACAGGTGACAGGACAGGACTTTTTTCCTCGCTTTTTTCTTCCCATTTTACATTACTTTATATCCATCTCTCTCCCTCTGTCTCTTCTGATATTTTTCATTATGACTAAGGCACCGACGGCCAGGAAAATTAACATCAAAATTACTTTCAACACATTGAAAAACCCGGAAAAACCTGAATCAAAATAGACATCACATATTCAAAACGCTTGTCACTAGGTACAAATATTCACGAATTCAATAAAAATAGTGACTCTTGTCATAGGAGTAGCATTAACCAAAATGCAGGAGTTTTTTTTAGTCACGGCAGGTTTCAAGAAGCCAATCTGTATCTAAACCTACCTACCTACCTGTTATTATCTTGTACAGACAATAATTTTAGTGATAAAAGTCACTATTGTACTTCTCTAAGGAATGTGCACAATGCAGATGTGTTTGTGGTCACGACCGACGGCAAAGCAAAACAAATAATATTCAACTATAGGAGACGTGAGTGTTAGTACCTCAGACTCGGTAAGGTCGATAAGACTGCTCTTCTCCTCGGTGAGGTTCTTCTCAGAGGACCTCTTCTCGTCCTCCCCGTCGCCCTCGTCCTTGAACACCTTAACCTCATCGGTGCTGCCGAGATCATCTCCGCCAGTGGACGAGACGTGTGGCATGGTTCACTAAAACACGCGAGACAGCGGCATATCACAGCCACCCAGCGCACTACGACCTACGACATGGCACCACTAATAAACGATAATCGGTGAATTGGTGCTCGCCTGCGTTGTCTGTCAAACGCGCGACAATCGACACGGCGGCGGTCGACACTGGCGCGGCACGGCCTACTCACACTATTCTCAGCGCGGACTGCCGGTGTTCCGGTGTTCGGTGTTGCGGCCAGGCAAGCGCGTTCCGCACTCTCTGTCGGCGCGCCGACCAATCACCGGCCGCTTTGATCCGCCGAGGCGGCTCGCAGTAATGGCAGCGCCGGCGATTGCGCACGAACGCTGCCGAAACCGGAGAGCGACAGCGTGGCACAGGGACGGACTCGAGTCTCTAAATCTTTAACCTTCCTGAGTTATTCTAATACCACTACATTACTAACTGGGGTATTTTTGTGCCCCACCTTGTTTTCATATATGTTTATAATATTTAATTTTTTTCTGTGACGGGAAAAAAGTTTGGCATTTCATCTCTGTTGGCAGGTTATAAAATTTCACTTTTCATGAATTACTTCTTTCCCGTGGGAAAAAAGTGAGTACTTTTTTCCTGGATATATATCACATATAAGTATATACACTGTTGATGGCTTTTGTTGTGCTATAGTTCCGAAAAATGAGTCAATAATACCGTCTCCGAGAAAGAACTGCAAGTCCTTTCCTCTTCAATTCGACTTCGTGATTACGTATATTACTAAACAACCACTGAATTCGCAATTTTTTGAAATCAAATCACAGAATCAGACTGACAGAAGTGACATCAGATATTTGATTACTTCAAAAGAATGATAATGATACCTACAACGCAGGTGTCCCTACTGTTAAAAACTTAAAATTTCACGTCGATAATTATCAGATTTCAAAATAATGTAATATCTTCTCAATATTGATTCGTCCTTTCTTCTGTCACAGAAAAAATAGTGTATTATACACGGGAAAAATATTAGATTTTGGCTCAACTATTATTATATGATTTGTACTACTTAAAAAATACACAAATAATAAATTTTGTCCAAATATATCAATGAGTTTTATAGAGTATGCAGTACAAATCTAATACAAAATATAATAATCAACTTATAAACTAATATTTCGAAATATCAATTATTATGTGTTTTTTTTTATGTTCTGGTTCCCACGAAAAGGGATATCCTGTAATGTTCAGAGAACATCGTGAGAACCAAGAGAAATAAGGTTGGAATTGGTGTTCTTCTTGAATTTCTGGAGGTTATATGCCTCGGGGAACATCTTCCTTGGCAAAGTGTTCCAGAGCTTCGCTGTTTGTTGGATGAACGAGTCTTTGGAAAGAGATGTTCTGCAGGTCTCCAAAGTGACCAAGAAGGGGTGCGAAGATTCAACTCGACGCGGGTTAATCTCGCGGGGACTGCCAAGGGAGGAACAATAATTGTTGATATTTCATAAGAGCATCGTCCATGAAAATATCTATAAAATAGAGCCAGATCGCCAACTTTTCCACGGTGTTCCAGAGAAGTGATTGAGTTTGTTTGTTTTTTGGACAGAATCCAACAGTTTCAGGGTATGTTTGGGTGCTGCATTCAAAATATGGAAACAGTGTTCCAGGCCAGGTCGGATCTGTGCCTTTTAGATCATAAGCAGCTGACTGGAAGTGAAATAGCTCCTGGCCCGAAACAGAAAACCAAGTTTTTGGGATGCACTTTCAGCAATTATTCTCACGTGATTTTCTCATGGATGGTTATTGCTGATAGTGATACCAGACATCGAAAACAAATCAAAGAAATCGGAGTGATGCATGGCTTCCTCCCTGTATCGATTTCATGAAAAATCTATTTGATTTAAGAACAAATCAGTTTAAATTGAGGAAATTGAAAGAGAAAGTAAACTTCCCATGAAAAAAGTTTCGAGTTGAATACTTCTCGAGATTCCAAAGTTTTCGAACATGAATTCGAGGTGTACTTGATACTACCGGGGGGCGTCTACTACCGATGCGGCCCTGCGCACATCATTACCATCGTGATTAATTTTACCTCCAGACATTTATTTTACTAATTTATGGACTGTTGTTTGTGATGATGTACGGGACTGTGCTCCACCTTCTTCAATATCTTCGCGCTCGTCCAGCTCTCAACGAGCGAAGAAGAAGAAGAAGAAGAAGAAAAGATGAGAAGAAGATGATCTCCAAAAGAAGATTCGGGGTGCTAAAAGTGCCATCGGCAGCCGAAGCCGAAGAAAGTCGATGAGGCATCAGTCAAAGGCGTACGCACAAATATTATTTTTTCTGTGACGGGAAAAAAGTTTGGCATTTCATCTCTGTTGGCAGGTTATAAAATGTCACTTTTCATAAATTACTTTTTTCCCGTGGGGAAAAAAGTGAGTACTCTTTCCCGGAAATATATCACATATATATACACTGTTGATGGTTTTTGTTTTGCTATAGTTCCGAAAAATGAGTCAATAATACCGTCTCCGAGAAAGAACTGCTACGCTACGCGTCGGGAGACAACACAACCTGGAGCAAAAATCTACTACTTTTTTCCCTTCTATCAAAAATAACTATTTTTCTGTGGCTATAACAGGAAATTGCTTTTGTTTTATTATGTTCGATGAATGAAAATGGTGCCCACTGGGGTAATAACAGCCACCCAAAGTTCACCTCTCTTTCTTAGTCGAGCCTAAAGTATTGTTTTTTCCTTTTACATTTACATATTCCTACTAGAAGAAACGAACGTAATACAGCTCATGCTGCAAATTTTTTCCTTGTGTGAAATGTTTATCATTCCGTGCTCGTTGAATATGATATACTATTTTGTTGAAAACGTCATAGAATGTATTGAGATCTCGAGTATTCAGACTCTATTCTCTGAATTCAGGCATTTTCTCTGAATGAATTTAGACTTTTTTCTTTGAATTCAGGCTATTTTCTCTGAATTCAGATTTCATTTTCTGAAATCAAACCTTCTTCTCTGAATTCAGACTTTTTCTAGGAAGAGACTTTTTTTTCTGAATACAGACCTCGACAGACCTTTTCCTTCGGTACTAGACATCACAGCAAACACGTTACATCACATGGCAGTTTCGCAAAGTCCCAGATTGCAAATGGAAATATGTTTTCACCTTGATCACGCATATTTGTTCTGAACGTGTTTACTTTGGGACTTTGCTTTGTTAACAAAAAATGTTAGATGCAGTGCGAGATGCAGTGATAATTATTTCAGCATAATGTTAAATAATCACAATGGCATTACCACAAAATGTGTTAAATTTCTTGTTGAGAAGATCGTCATCGAGAAACATCGCGACGAAGTCTATTCTAGAAAGTCACCATATCAAAAAGAATAGAATGGAGAAGTCTCAGAGAATATACGCATGAATGGGCTCAATGTGATTATAAGAAAGACATTTATTGTCTCTAAAGCATCCACAGTGACTATACGGATATATGTTGTATTTGGGCTATTTTTTCCAAACACAATTAATGAAATGCGTATACTTGATGTCGCGGATATTTCGCTGCAAATAAGAGCGGGAGATGGTTTTTCTACATCCCACGCGGATTTTAGTTGCAAAATTATTTCCATGGTACTTTAGAATTACTGCCCAGTGTTTGCTGGGATATTTCTCTGACTTCAAACTTTATTCTTTGAATACAGACCTTTCTCTCTGATTTCAGACTTTTTCCTCTAAAGTCAGATTTTTTTCTCTGAATTCAGACTTCTTCCCTGAATTCACACTTCTTTTCTGAATTCAGACTTCTTGTATACATGTATACAGGGTTGTACATGTATATGTATACACGGCGTTCCAGGCATTTTTTGCAGATGGACCCTCAATTTCCGTGATATACAAAGCGCAACTCCTGAAGCATGTTTAGTTTGAAAACTGTTGAACGAAGTGATATAATGAATAAGAATAAGCACATATAATTTGCTAGGTGCATCCTTAACTCACTTTTCATTATTTATAATCACACCAGCGTACTTTTCGTGATTTCCTGCTGTGCATTTTTGGAACATTTGATATTCTAGGAGTGAAAAACACAATGATAGCCACCTCTTTTTCCCAAATGATACCGCCGCCACTGATCCGAAACAAGTTGGAGGAGAGTTAGTAGATGCGGTGCAGGCAGCAGGCAGTGCAGGCTGTTTCAGTTCCTTTGAACGCAGTCAGCCAGTCGCCTTGACCTCCATCTGGCAATAATAATAATAATAATTGTGGTACTGGACGAGGTTTGTCAGCCTAACTAGACTCGAATGCCTTGTTTCTTCATTCTTGTCTTCGGCCCAGTAATGAGAAGAGAACGAGACTTACTTATTGGCTGCGTCTACACAACCGTCGCGGCGGTTGGATACTGATAGGTGTACAGTAATGAAAAATCGAAACAATCAAATTTGCCTATTCGCATTATCTGATACTTCGTTTACTGACAAAACTACAATTTAGACCGCTAGTGATCATAATATCATAATGGTTCTGCTCAACGCGTAGGATCCCCTCTGCCTAAACTGTCGTTCATGACGTCGAGTCATGTCTCTTGCTGTTGGGAATCAAATAAAGTAAGAGAGAGTATGATATATGACAGGTCCTAAATACTCATGATTCATTTTCTCCAGTGCGATCTCGAGCGTGGCATATGCTTCTTTCTTATCGCTTAGCAGTCTAGACTAGATAGAAGTTACGTCAGTGATGAATTCTGGCTTTTGCCAGATTTCAAATTTTGCTCATGAAATTTAGTTTACTGTCGATTTCACAAACATTAATTTGCGGTAAAATGAAGGCCCAATACATTTCCAATAACCGGCATTCATTCCCTTGATGGGCTTTCAAATTCCCATACTGGTATAGGAACGAATATAAAAATAATAATAATGATTGATAAGATTGTGATGAAATCTTCATTTTGAAGGTTAGTCTCATACATTATCGTGACTTGGTATACCGCTGATGGTCCATTCTCCAGGTGTCCTATCCATTCAGTC